ATAGCTTCCTCAGCGGTTTAGCAAATAGACAGTCTAAAAGGCGTGCTAAATTTTATGTACATTTTAGCAAAACCTAGCACTGAAAGGAGAGATATTAACCTCCAGAATAATATAGCTGACTTGATATTTGTGTTACAGGATGGCTTTTAACTTGTCATAACAACTTTTGACATTCTATAGGAGATATAAGGCCCAATTAATACATTGAGACTAGTTAATTGTGGAAGATGTAACATTGTTCACCTCAACTCCACGGGCAAGTGGTTATGGTAAGGTTAAATGATAAAATTGAAGAGAAAATTGCAACATTTCATTGAATGAGACAAATTTTCAGTCTGTCAATGAGTCTTGACATGACACCAATCTTACAACCCATCTGCAAAATGTCATGAGTGGAATTAAAGTGTTGCATTAATTAGGAGAATGAAAGGGGCAGCTCCAAAGAGAGTGTCAAGAGGACTGCTAGGAGGAAAACAAATGCCCAGGAGATTTAGAAGAGCATCACTGGCAGAGAGAATGCAACCGCTCGGGAGGACGGAATAAAACTTAACAGTTATTGGGGTATATGTGAAAGAAACATCTCACCATGTTTCTCCAGAATTTCATTTCTAACCCAGGGTAGGAACACCTGCAATTGTAGAGGATAGAACTCATTATTTTTTGTTTTATTGAATGGGGTTTGCTTTTCGGACCTACCCCATGGAGCTCTTAAAGAAAGGGACAGAATCACCTTTAAGTGCATCTTTACCAGCACCGGAAGGGGATATTTTCTGGTCCTGAATCCACAGGGGGGATTTGCATGCTTGTGTGCATCTGTACAATCATCACCCGCTCAAGAGCAACCCTCAGGATTATTTATAAGACCATGAGAATTACAAAAGTTGACAAAAAATTTTAAAATTTCAGCTGGTAAAAACACATTAAAAATGAATGAAAACCTAACAGCTCCTCTGATATTTTAAATGGGTTTGAGGAGCTAGAGTATTTGTTCCACCTGAAAGTCTGAGACAAAATTTCTGCTTAAAAATATGAAAATGGGTAACCTGGATCCAAAGCAGAGGTATAACTTCATGTACAGGAATATTGAATTCTCCCCAAAGGCAGACCTTTTGGGAAGAGATGTATGTATACAGGAACAATATATTTGCTTGCAAGGCATTAGGGAAAGGTAGATGGAAAAGGCTGTCCATTGCCTTTTGTGATACTACCTATGCTTTCCACTACCTCTTTTATTTTTCCTTATTTCTTCTCTGCCTCCTCCACTTACCACAAGCTTCCCCACTCTTTGTTAATACTCTCACCTTCGGCTTGCAAAGCTAGCGTATGAATGTATATCTATGTTTGTGAGAGGAACAATTACAACAGACCTTAAATTTACGGTGCAGCAATCTAATAACTGCCAGCCTTGGTTATGGAGATGAGTGTTGCAGAGAACCTGGCACAACCAGATTTGCAGGAACAACCTGTCCTGCTCACAAACAGCTCCTGACTTCCCACTGGAGATTTCCCATTTGGTTTGTGACTGGTGCAGAAGGCTGACCTTTCCTTGGCTACATCAAACAGAACATGTGGCCTCCTGGGGCTCGCACTGGCTCAGGCAACTACAACATTTTCAGCTTTTCTCCTTTCTGCTTTGGAACCGTCACAGACAAATTGCTTGCCAAGTTGACAAGCTGGTTTAGGATTGGACGTAGGAAACCAGACACCGGTCTTTTTACATCAATCTTTTAAAAAGTCTGAAGAATAATTTGATGCATCTTCTGCTTCTGAAGTAAACAAACGGGAAAAGTTTTACTTCAGTTTTATACACAGATACATGCAGGCCACTTAGTAGGGGAGGGAAAAAACCAGCTTTCCCTTGTGAGGATAAGTATTTTCAATAACTTAATTATCAACATTTGTAAATAAAAATATGACTGAATATTCAAAGATTAAGCTGAAAGTGACATATAATGGTACAGTAAAAAAGAAAATTCTCTTACCTAAATATCAACATTGTCATGGTGAGAACAATATTTTCAATAGAGCGTTTTTTGGGGGAAGAATGGGGATTGTTTCAATAATGAGGGGAAAAAAGGAGAAAAAAGATCTTGTCCTTCCCCACTGAGTGAATTATTTAATACTAGATAGTTTTGCATAGGATAATACACTTAAAAGAGTGTACATGAGGTTAGTGCATAGATCCATTTTCTGGATCTTTTCTGGAACTGTCTTAGGCATTTAGAAGCCCTGTTTCACATTTCAATGAGACCACAGCATCTAAGAGCCTAACTTATTTCCAAACATGGGATATAAATGCTTTTAATATGTTGATCCTATTACTTAATGGTTGTCAAGCCAGAATTTGCTCTTATTCAACACATATCCTCTTTTTGGCATGGGGGGAAAGCAGAAGAGAAGCTAAAAACAGTCACTGTCTCCTATGTTAGATGAGATTGATCAGTGAAGACCTTTCTACTTAGGGAATGTACACAGAGCAGCAATTTTTGCCAGAAGCGTATGAAATAGCCAGGCTATTGACTGGGTAGGGCAAAGACAGACCAGTCTCTAGTTTTGCTTGTAAAGTTACCTGATAGTATTGCCACTTGGCCAAATGGTAGGAGGTGTCAAGTT